AGTAAGTTTGTGTGAAGATAGCCTAGAAAATAAGAACAGAAAACGCTCCAAATGAGCTCCTTTAGTTAAAAGAATCTTAAGAGTTTATGTTAAAGGTTCTTAGGAAGTATCGACCTGATTAAAGGTGTGAAAGCTCAAACTACTATCTAGATAACTGTCCTTTGTCGTAAGAGTATACAGACTATATCAGAAGAGACATATGTGAACACTTGTTCTCCATACAGCTGTGTATAGATGCCTGCCTAGTAGACAATCAGTGCTTATGGGAGCAACTGCCATTTCTATCTGGCTTTTGGATAAACATTGCGCTTGTGTGTTTGCTTTTGTTTGTTGCTGATGGTGAGGAAGTTAATAGACCTCAATAAATTTAAAAAAATCTACTTCATAGGCCCAGAAAGGAGACTACATTGGGAATGTATTTGGTTAGGACACTTTGGGAGTAGCAAGAAGTGGCACTACCACTCAGATTGACAGCTGAGCTTTCTTCCCTTTGTGATATTACCTGACTGGGGAGTGGCTTCATGAAGACTACTTGTTATAATGATCCTTCAGAGATGAATGTTAAACAATATTATGGCACCTGGCATCTCAGATTTACGATCTAGTTTCCTCATTCTTTTTTATTTAAGCCAACATAATGTGAAAATATGATTTTATAACAATATGGTTAATCATAATGCAAAAGTTATCTTCATTTGACAAAATAATTGGCTATAGTGTACTTTAAATAATGAGCTCTTCTACTGCAGTAAAATTAAATAACTAGATGTTAAAAAATGTGATAGTCACGGTCTACAGGAAACCACCTATGTATTGTTATATACATCTGTGACTCAACTAAAGTGAAAGCAAATCCTCACAAATTTTTAGTTTTATTTTAAACATGAAATTTAGTTTACCACTTATGTACCCATTTGCATATTTCTTTGTGACTCATAATCATCATTCTGCTGGAATTTACGATATTTTTAAAAATCTTGAATCTAATATAACATCAAAAGGTCTGGTAAAATTTTAAAGCAGCTCAAAATTACAGATTCATACAACTATGTAAAGATTAGGTAGGACTTTGTCAAAGCCATTTCTCTCTGTCTCTCTCTGTCTCTCTGTCTCTCTCTAGGTCCAAGTATCTGCTGCTTTTGCTCATTGGCTAGTGCTTCATCAACTGAGCCATGTTGCCAATCTCTAAAACATTCATTTGATCAAGTGAACATAGATAAGATTAGAAACTTTCAGAATAAAAAATAATTAAAAAAATACAGGATTATTAATTAATTTATAAGATATTAAAAGGTATCAAAACAAATACATTTTGGCTATACTGCTTTTTTTCTTTAAGATGAAATGAAACTAAAAACATCATTTTGGTATGCTACTATCAAAAGATCTAGGACATCGGCTTTTATTCTTCTGTCAAGATACTTCTAGACTAGTGATTATTTGTGTGGAAACTGACAGAAATGATCTCTGTAGAGATAATGGTAAATATAAAATATATAAAACATACTGCTCAATTTATGGATGCAGGATATAGTAGAAAGGATAGTAAATGCTTAGCAACCATTACTGTGTAAAACACAAAGACACACAAAGTATTTACAACATAGATTAAGGCAAAGTAAAAAATGGGCAATTCTTACTTCCCAGTAACTACAACTTAAATTTTATGATGAATTTCTGTAGCTTTAGTTGCTCAACATGCAGATGCATTCTTAAGTATGAATAATATGACAAGCAGAAGCATTAGAATTGTGCTAGAAAAGATAATTAAGATTTAACAGTATATTACAAGGTACAGAGATCTCTGTCCTCGTATGTTCAATTTTCAGCTGAATTTTTTTCTCAAAGAAGATATATAAAAATCTAATTAGTTAGAGATAGAACTTGCTAACAAAAATTGCTCCATCTTCATTCATGCCTCTGCCCATCTTTTGGACATTGTTGAATTGACCTTTAGCATGCAGAAGTTAATGAGATTCTACTCCTACTCTACCTAAGTTTGCTCAGCTGATTCCTTGCCCTCGGCAAAGGCTGCAGTGCGATGAACTCGTCACTTAAAGCAACTGTGTTGGAGTACATCTATAAGTGGACAGAAAAGGGATGGGACACACAACAAGTCAGTGAGCTGTATTCATCACCTACGAGACAGACACAGGACAAGGTTTGTAAATACCAAACATCTACTCCCACAAAATAGGAAATATGCATGGTACATATACATGATTGACATTGGCAGGATACTGGTTTTGCCATTTAAAAGTTTATTATTCACTCTTAACATAGTGTTATTCTGGAGAAATGCAAAGCTTACAATAAATACTAACAGTTCTTTTGATTTTGTTGGCTATATTGAAGTAGTTATTAACTGCTTCAATGAACAATGAAGTAGTTAACAACTTCCTAGCTATTTCTCCAATATTTGGAATCAGAAGTAATGGTAGAGGCTGAGGGACAGTGCCCAGGACTAGAGTTCAGGTCCCAGGACCATATACATACATACATACATACATATATATATCTATATATATATATAATTTGGAAAAATATTTGGAGAGGGGATTGGAAGTAGAAAGATGGATGGGGTACATTGTATGCGTATATGGACATGTCAAAATGAAACCCCCTTGTACAACTAATTGATGCTTTTTTTTTTTGCCAGTTCTGGGCCTTGAACTCAGGGCCTGGGCACTGTCCCTGAGCTTCTTTTGCTCAAGTCTAACACACTACTACCTGGGCCAAAGCACTACTTCTGGCTTTTTCTGTTTATGTGGTACTGAGGAATCAAACCAGGGCTTCTTGCATGCTTAGGGAAGCACTCTACCACTAAGCCACATTCCCAGCCTTGATACTATTTTTTTTTTTAAAGATAGCTCAAAAGACTCATGAGAAAATGACTCTTTACTAGTGGGAACTTGTGAGCACAGTTGAGACGTTTGAAATAATTACCTTCAGAGTAAGAATGAAAAAGTCTCTATGACTATCAGGAATTTAGGTAGGGCTGAAACTTAAAGATGCCTGATAATGAGACAGAGGAAGTTTCTTCAATATATCATAAAATATCTTTTCAATTTGATTAAAAAATAATGAGTTTCCAGAAGAATATACTATTTTACTATATTTCCAAAGACAGCAATAAGATATGCAAACTTCTGATATAGATTTAAGCAATATATTACAGAAAAGAGAAGTGTTTGTCCATATTGACTCCTATACATATAGGCAGACAGAGTGAGCAGAAAGATTATGTATTTTTTCAGCCTCATTTGGAAATCAGTGTCACAGCGCAATACTCTTTTCTGTGTGATGGATCACATAACAGTATCAGGTGCTTCATATTCATTATCTCTTATATAATGTAAAGTAGTAATTATTATTTTCTTTTTACAGAGAAGAAATTGAGGCCTAGCAAAGTGACTGGATCAAGGATATATATCTTATAAATGATTGAAATGTTAAGCTTCACAGGCCTATGCTACTTCAAACGTGTATATTAGTTAGGATTAAATTACCAAAGAAGGCAAATGCTACAGAAATGTGGAATTATCAACTGAAATTTAAACCAATGCACTGCTTAGGAAACCTAATTCAAATGACTACATATTCACAGAGCACTTTTCTTTTTTGCAGAATGATTACACAATCACATTTTCAAAAGTTTAAAAAAATTTGCTTGGCATGAAGTAAAAATTTTAAAAAATATTGAGAATAATTTCAAATTCTGAAGAGCTAAATGGTTAATAAACTCAGCATTTACTAGTGAATAAATGCTGATGAGAATATACCAAATACTGTGTGGTACAGTTAAAAGGATAAATTCAAATATATTCCTGGCTCATGTGCCAGTCAAATATACAAAAAAGGCACATTCAAATAAGTAGTTATCATTTTTAAAAGGATCTACTCTAAACATTTTTTCATTTATTTCTCAATATGAAGGGAATGGAAGATATTTCTATCATAATTTTAATGAGGAAACAGGCTCGTTAAAGTGTCATCAAGAGGCAGCACTGGGATTTGAACTGAGATTTATCAGATCCCCAAAATCATATTCTTTTTTTCCTTTCTGTGCTAGTCCTGGAACTTGAACTCAGGGCCTGAGCACTGTCCCTGAACTTATTTTTACTTAAGGTTGGATTCTCCCACATGAACAACAGCTCTATTTCTGGGCCTTTTTTGGGGGTGAGGGGAAGGGGTGGGCGTTAACTGGAGATGATAGTTTCAGGGACTTTTCTGTCCTGGCTGGCTTCAAACTGTGATCTTCATATCTCAATCTCTTGAGTAGCTTGGATTACAGGTATAAGCCACCAATGTCCAGCTTCAACATATTCTTAAGCACTATGTAACAAATGATTAACTGTTGTATTTTTATTAGAAAATAGTTAATGAATATATATTTTAGAAATCATTCCATAAAAATTACTTAGTTTGAAGACTTTTTCACATTATTTTGTGAAAAACAATATGAAAAATTATACTCAAAATCGAATGTTTCTAAAGGTATTACTTTTTTTTGGGGGGGGGGGAGGGGTCCAGTCATGGGGCCTGAACTCTGGACCTGGGCACTGTTCCTCAGCTCTTCAGCTCAAGGCTAGCGCTCTACCACTTGAGCCACAGCGCCACTTCTGGCTTTTTTCTTTTTTCTTATGTGGTGCTGAGGAATCGAACCCAGGGCCTTAGGCATGCAAGGCAAGTGCTCTACCACTGAGCCACCTTCCCAGCTAAAGGTATTTCTTATAGTTAAATCAACCTGACAGAATACTGTATATTAAAATTTTACAATTCTCTGGACTTAATTTGAGAATTTGATCATTAAAAACCCAAATTCAGTTTAAAAAAATCAGTGAAAATAGAAATAAATAGAAACAACTTTAAACTATCATATTTAATAATTTTTATATTATTAAATGCATGATACAGAAATGTGCAGAGATAAATTATAATCAGTTATTTGTTACTAAAGAGACGCTAATAGAAAGATATTGAATATAAGAAACGTTTACCTGTGCCTTTTCAGTACTTGTAGGATGGAGCTGCCGGTCAAATACTTTCTTCACAACATCAAGAAGCAGACAAGTAACAACCATAAGGATTATGGAAAACCAAACAGACCCACTTGATAGGAGCTGAATAAATACAAAGTACATATTCTGGGAGCCCAAAAATGGCCTGCAAAGAAAGATAGCGTGCTTTATAAAACTGAAAAGTAATAAGTGTGATGTCACATGCCTATAATCCCAGCAATCTGGAGGCTGAGGCAGAACAGTCTCAAGTTTGCGGCCTAGGAAACAGAGTAAGATCCTATCTCAAAAAGAAAGAAATGAACAGTGAAAATGAAAGACAAATCAAGACATGAAAAAACATGTATTTCAAGGAATATTTAAGAGTACTACAGGAAGAGGTTCAAAATTGAAATTGGTAAAACTTAATAGATATTACACACACACACACACACACACACACCCCTAGCCAGGTGTGCCTGTCTTTAATCCTAGCTACTCAGGAAGCTGAAACACACACACACACACACACACACACACACACACACACACACACACACACACCCCTAGCCAGGTGTGCCTGTCTTTAAACACACACACACACACACACACACACACACACACACACACACACACACACACACATACACACACCCCTAGCCAGGTGTGCCTGTCTTTAATCCTAGCTACTCAGGAAGCTGAAACACACACACACACACACACACACACACACACACCCCTAGCCAGGTGTGCCTGTCTTTAAACACACACACACACACACACACACACACACACACACACACACACACACACCCCTAGCCAGGTGTGCCTGTCTTTAATCCTAGCTACTCAGGAAGCTGAAACACACACACACACACACACACACACACACACACACACACAAACCCCTAGCCAGGTGTGCCTGTCTTTAATCCTAGCTACTCAGGAAGCTGAAACACACACACACACACACACACACACACACACACACACACACACACACACCCCTAGCCAGGTGTGCCTGTCTTTAAACACACACACACACACACACACACACACACACAAACACACACACACACACCCCTAGCCAGGTGTGCCTGTCTTTAATCCTAGCTACTCAGGAAGCTGAAACACACACACACACACACACACACACACACATACACACACACACACACACCCCTAGCCAGGTGTGCCTGTCTTTAATCCTAGCTACTCAGGAAGCTAAAATCTGAACTTCATGTTTGGAAACCAACCCGGATAGGAAAGTCTTTGAGACTTTATTTTGAATTAACCACTAAAAAGTTGGAAGTGGAGCAAAAAAGCTCAAGAACAGCACCCAAGCACTGAGTTCAAGTCCCAAGACCAGCACAAAAAATAACCACCACCAATTTATTTACTTTTAGTGGCAATTACATTTTATACTGATAGAGAATATAGGGTTCCACCTTAGTAACAGGATTTCAAGGAATAATGTAGGAAAAAGAAAAGATTACAAAACAAGAAAAGTTAAAAAAATAAAACGAAAGGATTCATTAACTAAATCTTAGACTGGAAGATTTCTGTTCTTTAGAAACATATTTTAAAATAAACTCAGAAATACTAGTTCTACAAAGTATCAGTTATTGTAAGGATATTCTTTTGGGGGGTTATCTTTCGAGGTATTTGTATGTATCAATTCAAAAGACCATAAGAAAATAGAGAAACAAAAAATGAAAAAGGATTACAGTCAAACAATATGCATTAAAGTATCCTTTTATGATCCTAAATGGGAGGTGATTGACCAATTCAAGTTTTTTGCCTAGTGGATTAAAGGTACATCAGGCAAATGTAAATTTTCCAAAAGAAAGACACTAATCGTCAATAACTTACAAAGAATCTTAAAAGCATGAACTTTTTAACTGATCCTATAATAAAAATGAAGTAACTTTTAAGAGAAGTTAGCTCAACTATCATAATTTGATAATTCTATGTGACTTCTTCTATTGTATACATGAATAATTTAGAGATAATGTGGTTAGTGTGCAGGACATTAATTGTAAAGGCAATAGAGCTTAAGTTTAGGCTATTATTTAAATTAAAGTAAATCCTGTTTTTATTTTTTTATCTCTGTGATGCTCAATCTCACATAAAAATGAGAATAAAATCATGGTAAGAGTCAATATATTATCTAATATAAAATGTCTAGAAGTTTCAGATACTCAAGAAATATCAAAGAGGTAAACTTTTTATTTTTATTTATTTATTTATTTTATTTTTTTGGGTCAGTCGTGGGGCTTGAACTCTGGGCTTGGGCACTGTCTCTGTTCTCTTCAGCTCAAGGCGAGTGCTCTACCGCTTGAGCCACACTACCACTTCTTCAAAGAGGTAAACTTATTATCAAGTAGTGTCTCAAAACTATTCTGAGCATTATTTGCTCATAATATAATCTATCACATAAATATTTATTGTCATTAAATCAATATAATTAAAATACAATATAGATACTCACCAGAGAATACCGCCATAAAACAAAGAAAATATAAAATAAAATATAATAGATCCCCAGGTAACAAGATGGTTGATCCAAGTCCAAAAGTGAGTTTCCAAAGCCATCTAAAAAAATTTTTTTGAAAAAAGGTCTTAGAAATATCAAATAATAAAGTTTTACTTCAGCCTCTTAGATAAAACCTAAGAATTAAACATATGAATTATCAGTATCTAAAAAAATTACATGGCATAGTCCTTCAGAAGGTATTAATCAGAGGGCTGGTAAGAAATTACATAATTTCAAGTTGAATATTTTTTTTCTGTAAGAAAGTAGCACTGAAATTTCATACATGACTCTATAAGTTGTGGTGTTTCACACAATACACAGAGAAGTATAATTTCAGTTATTTTTATTTGACCAAGATTAGATGCTCTCCAACACAATTTAAGAGACCTTTTTGACAACATTTAGTAAGTTATTAAATTAAAAACCAGTGAATTTACAGCTAAAAACAGAAAATGGAAAATACAGAAAAGAGGAAAATTAACTGCCAACTCTATAGACATAAAATTTGTTCACATTTCTAGCTTTAGTACCATACCTTAACTGTGACTGTAATAACCATGACTGTGAAGACCAAAGTGCCAAACGTCCAGTTTCCAAACATCTAAACAAAAAGAACAGAGTATGATTTTATGTGTTAACATGTTAAATCCAATGAAAGGTAGTAAGTCATTTAATTCTCTACTAAAAATCATGTAATTTAAGCCAGTTACATATGAAATGTGTCAGTATATTAATGAAGTTGTGTATGAGAAAAAGCGCTGCTATACTTATTACTATAATGCATAGTGATCCTTTGGATAACATCTTTTTATCTGAAAACCCAAAGAAGGGTTTATAGTTGTGTCCCATAGAAAACAGTCATTCATTTAGAATGAATAGTCCTTAGTGATTGCTTTATTCCTGTCTACACTATACAAATAGTAGAAAAAGCCTTTTCAACAAAGAATTATTTTCTGAGAACTACCTAAAATTTCTAAAAGGTTCACTGGATAGCTTGCCACAGTATTTCTGGACACAAAATAGTAAGCAGGAAAAAAGAAATTAAAACAACATCTGACAGACAAGAAAGTGGCCAATGGAATGACTTCAAGTATTCCTTATAAAAATGCAGTTAATACTGGCCAGAAAGTCTTCTGAGCTATGCAGCCAGAATTATTTTTTTGGTCGTGGGACTGAACCCTGGGCCTGAGCGCTGTCCCTCAGCTCTTCAGCTCAAGGTTAGCATTCAACCTCTTGAGCCACCGTGCCACTTCTGGCTTTCTCTGCTTATGTGGTATTGAGGAATTGAACCCAGGGCCTCATGCATGCAAGGCAAGCACTCTACCACTGAGCCACCTTCCCAGCCCAGCCAGAACTTATTAAGGTTCATCACACATACAAAATCTCAAAGTAATATCAAGGATCTAATTTCCACAAATCAAAATATAATCAGAAACAATGTTAGCTTAGTTTATAAAGCAGTCAGAATCTCAACAGTGGTTTAAAATTTTACTTGAAAGATTGTTTTGCTTAAAAATAGTTATAAATCTCTAATAATTAGTATTTGCTTGAGAAATATTCTACCTCTCTGAATCATACAATGCTTTGTAAAGCTACCATTCTACTATTTACGCCATCCTACCACTTCTGGCTTTTTGTTAATCATAGAGACAAGTCTCACAGATCTTTCTATCTAAGCTGGCTCTGAACTTCAATCCTCAGAACTCAGATTCCAGAGCAGCTAGGATTACAGGTGCAAGTAACCAGTGTCTGACTCTGAGAGGTTTAAAAATTAGGGTAAGCAAAAAGAACAGAATATCTGATACATAATAAAGAAATGTTAAATATTATGCTAATGAAGCAAGCAAGTGGAACAAGCACAAGTCTTGAGTTCAAACTCTAGTGCCAACAAAACAATAAAGATAAGTAAATAAAATTAAAAGTAATAGTTAAAGTCATACTCAAACCATGAGTACTTTTCCAGTTTTGTATCTCTTGAATAATGACCACTAAATACTGAAAATTAGTGAGCTTCAACTTAACCCTTAGGGGAGTTTCAGTCTCCTCTTTTAGGACTATTGGGGCAGATTCTTTAAAACAGCTAGTTGACCTTGACCTGGGAATGATAAAACTTTCGGTACCTACTATTATTTAATACATGTTATATTCCTTTCTTGGGAAGGAGAATTTAAGGTTTCCACTTGCATAAGTCCCTAGAAGGAACAGAAGTGTGCTTTTGTGAGAACTTTGCGCTTGCCTTGAGCTCAAGAGCTGATGGAAAACGCCCATGCCCAGAGTTCAAGCCCTACAACTGACAAAAAAGAGTGACATTCAACTGTAACATCAGATAAGAGCAATGCTCCATTCTGACACCTCCTTGAGCTGTTGTGATGAAGTAGCAGAGGGATTTTTGGAATCTAAGGAGAAGTGCATTAAGCTTATACTTGCTCAAGTTGTGAATATACTGACAAGAATTCTTTTTTTTTTTTTAATTGTGAAAATACCTTACAGAGGGGTTACAATTACATGAGCAAGATAATGAGTACATTTCTTATCAAGCATTGTTGCCTCCTCCTTTGTTCCCCATTCCCATCCTTCCCATCTCCCCACCCCCATCCGTCTACTCCCCCACCCCGAAGTTGAAAAGTTCGTTTTTCAACATAACGACTTGCACATCTCATTGTTGCAATGGGTCCACCTGTATCCCTATTCAAACAATTTGTTTTTTCCCTTCCCCTCTCCAAATTATACCAACATCAAATACAGTGAAAACAGGGGTTATACTGTGGGGGAGGGACATACAAAGCAACAAAGAAATCATCATAAATATGTTAGAAACAATAGAGAGAAAGAAAAATCATTTGAGTCCTTATCTTCAGGCTCATTTTGCCTAACATCAACTTATCTGACTGTTTCTGACATATACTAGTTATTGCGAATAAGGGAAACCATGGGATCTATGTTTCTTTGGGGCTGGCTTACTTCACTTAATATAATTTTTTCCAAGTCTTTCCATTTCCTAACAAATGGGGCAATGTCATTCTTTCTGATGGAGGCATAGAATTCCATTGTGTATATATACCACATTTTCTTGATCCACTCATCTACTGAGGGGCATCTGGGTTGGTTCCATATCTTAGCTATGGTAAATAATGCTGCAATAAACATAGTTGTGCTGGTAGCTTTAGGTCTTGTTTGTGATCATTTAGGTAAATGTCCAAAAGTGGGATTGCTGGGTCATAGGGGAGCTCTATGTGGAGTCTTTTGAGGAACCTCCATACTACTTTCCAAAGTGGTTGAACAAGTTTACATTCCCACCAACAATGCAGTAGGGTTCCCTTTCTGACAAGAATTCTTTAAAAAACCATTTTACCTGGCCATTTGCAAGCAGAGATATATCTTTTCCCATTAGAAAATAGGATCCAAAAAAGAAAATAAAGGCATGACTGAAACCCAAAATGGTCCAATAGAGAAATGTTTGAATGCTTAAGAGGCGATTTTTACTAATGTCCCTGTAAAATTAAAAAAGAGAGGCAGAGAAAAAATGTATTAGGACTTTTACTTTCTAAACAATTACAACTGGGTAATTTTATAATGAAAATTTTAAGATGACTGAAAAATATTAGCAAACATAATAAATCTAATTTTACAATTACTTCTAATAACAGCATTCATTTATGTAATCGAGTTTACATAATAAATTCCAATAATTTTTTTGGGGGGGTTGTGAGGCCTGAATTCTGGGCCTGGTGCTGTTGCTCAGCTCTTCAGCTCAAGGCAAGTGTTCTACCACTTGAACCACAATGCCACTTCTGGCCTTTTCTGTTTATGTGGTACTGAGGAATCAAACCCAGGGCTTCAAGCATGCTAGACAAGCACTCTACCACTAAGCCACACCTCCAGTCCCTATTTTTAAAATACTTGTTAAAGTTGACAACTATTCAATACATTACTTGTAATCTGAAATGTACAGCCATCTAATACTGGAAAATACTTACCGATAGAGGGTGGGCTTGTTCTGTAATACATGAGGGTCTATATGCTGTTCCAAAAGACTATACATCAGAACAGGTAGGGAAGTAAAACAAATATTGTATAAAGTCAGGTACACGCTGTCATATAGTGTCTAGAAAGAGAGATTTGTAGACATTTTAAGATTTAAATTATGCATTAAGTTATGCATATAACCATAAAACATTAAAATAAGCACAAAATGAGTTTTTTTCTCAATTCATACCAAAATCCATTTTAATAAATCTAATAAGTAATTCCAATTTGTTTTTTACACAGATATAAACATAATGGCTTAGGTTTATAATCATTGCAGGATTGAAATAATTTACTGTGTTAGGTGTTTTAGAAATATAATGAATTGGATATTCGTTTCAAAATTCTCCATAATCTGGTCATAGTAATGGAGTTTTACACAATCCTTCTATATTCCTCTGACATGGTACACTTATATTTCTGATCTCCCCATCTACACTCCACATCTATCTTTTTTTTTTGTTGGTCATGGGGCCTGAATTCTGGGCCTGGGCATTGTCCTTGAGCTCTTCAGCTCAAAGCTAGTGCTCTACCACTTGAGTCACAGCACCAGTTCCAGCTTTTTCTGCTTATGTGGTGCTGAGGAATCGAACCTAGGGCCTCATGCATGCAAGGCAAGCATTCTACCACTGAGCCACCTTCCTGGCCCCCCACATCTATCTTTTTAAAGCACAGAACACACATTCTTTTTCCTTAAGAACTTTTCATAGTGGCCCAAGTCCTTGATGATAGATAGGGTCCTTCTCTAAAAAGCCACAGGTACTACTGTTGGTAATAATGGCTGAGTGCTCTATAATTCATATAATGTTTTTAGTGTGATTAAAACTGTTTTCTTGAAAAACCTGATCAAAACAGTCAGGTAGGTCCTCTTGACATGGTCTTATTTCATCGTGGTACACTGTTACTAGCAATCAATGCTGATTTAAGAAGAAATATAGATACAAGTACAAGCAGGTAAAAACAGCATTTTCAGATAGGAACAACTAATGAAAAGCCTAAGATAACTAAGCTCTTATTTTTTTTCAATAAATTAGAAGCAATGTCTCAACTAATCTGACCAATTTAACAGACATTTGAACACTTTTTTTTTTGTGCTGGCACTGGAGCTGGAATTCAGGGCTGGGTACCGTCCCCAAGCTTTTTCACTCAAGGCTAGCGTTCTACCACTTGAGCTGCAGCTCTTTTTATGGCTTTTTTTGGAGCTAAGAGTTTCACAGACTTTCTTGCCTGGGAGAACTTCAACTGTGATCCTGATCCTCAGACCTCTGCCTCCTAAGTAGCTAGGATCACAGGCATAAGCCACCAGGGCCAGCTTGAACACCTTTTTTGTAAGTGTCAAGGGTGCTTCTCTAGTAAGAGGCAGTAGGTCTAAGTCATGGCTCATTCATAAACTTAGCTAAGTGATCTTAGGCAATCTGCTTAATCTCTGTACATTTTTCCTATCTTTTCTAAAAAATAAGAGTATGTCAGGAATGGTAAATGTGTGTGTGACATATGTATAACAAAGACTCACCCTGTGCCATTAATGCTACTAAAAACAAACTATTTCTTCTCTAAACCTAAAGCTTCAGAAATCTTTTTGGTTCACTACTCTATGTGTTCCTATCAATTCCTTAAAGCCAGCTTCTGATGTAAAGCTTACATTATCCTGACTTGGAGTAAACTACTGAAGTTCCTACTGCATTTTAAAAACTTTGGAGAAAAAATAAAAACGAAGTGAATCTAATAGTTATTTGATATGGCTTTCTATGGATTCTACAGAAAAAATATCAAAAATTATAAAGTCATGAGAATATCTTTTTTAATGTTTTTTATTATAAAAATAGTGTACAGAAAAAAAGTGTACAGAGGGGTTACAGTTACATGAGCAAGGTAATGAGTACATTTCCTATCAAGCATTGTTACCTCCTCCTTTGTTTTTCCCCTACCATTCCTTCTTTCCCCACCTCCCCAGCTTCCCTTTCCCCCCTCCTAAGTTGTAAAGTTCGTTTTCAATATAGTATCTTGTACATCTCATTGTTAACAATGGGTCAACCTGTATCCTTGTTTCAGCATTTTTTTTTATTTCCCTTCCCCTCCCCAAATTAGAAAAATATATATATAAGATGCAGAGCACTGACATCAAATACAGTGAAAACAGGGGTTATACCATGGAGGAAGAACACACAAGAGAAACAAAAAGCATTTATAATTAAAACAGATTGTGAGTGGGGTCCTAGTGGTTCATGCCTGTAATCCTAGATAGTCAGGTGGCTCAGATCTGAGGATTTTGGTTCAAATCCAGCCCTTGCAGAAAGGTCTGTGAGACTCTTATATCTTAACTAGCAAAAAGCTGGAAATGAAGGTGTGGCTCAAGTGGTAAGGTTTCAGTCTTAAGCAAACAAAAAAGTCACAGAACAGAATGAGGCCCCTGAATTCAAGCCCTAGGAAGTATGTGCATCCTTCCCCTCCACCCACCACATATCAGAGGTATCCAGGTCATAGGTTATGGTATCAACAATAATCTCAAACTGAAAACCAGAATAAATATTGTGACTATTATGTTGACTACTACTCAGGAAGTTTCATCTTGTTATTGAAAGGATTAAGAATAATGAAAAGCCACTCTAAACATCTCCCAAGATCAGACCACATCAGCTTATCTTAAAAAGGCAAAATACAAGCTTCTGTTTACTTACTTGTTGAGAAAACAAACAGTAGAACTGATATAAAAATTGGGGTGTGATAAAGCATACATTCTGAAAAACAGATTAAATGGAAACAATTAAAATGTTTAAGTCTTAAAACAAAAAAAAAATCTAAAGAAGGATCCAAAAACAATCTCAATGGATATAATCAGGAGATTATCTTTCCATAAAGACATTTCACATAACATAGGAACATAAAATTCTTATTTTATTAAAAAAATTCTGGCAGCATTTGAAGGAACAGTGAAAATATTACAATGAAATACTCTTAGCTCCATTTTTGTCAAGTGATATAATTTCAAATTCACAAGCTTGAACATTCTTATTCACTATTTTCATATGTAGGATAATAAATAAGTCACTTAGATCTTAAGAATATGGTATTTATAATTTATAATGTATATATAAATATATTTATATATAATAAATAAATATATATAATTTATAATGTAAAAATATTTAAAGCACAATAAATGGAACTATTAAAAGCTCTACCTCAATATTCTCATTTTATAAGTGAAAGCTAAAGAATAAACTTAAGGAAAACTGCCATATCATCTTATAATAATACACAATCTGTTTGTGTTATGGTATATAAGTTGTTTTGCTAACAGGGACTATTAACATAGGTTCCACAGATTCCTACCATTCCCCAAAAGGCCGGATACAGAACAGTTTTCCATCATCATTAATTTCTTTCTATTCTTAAGTATTTTATTTTGAGCATATCAAAACACTTTATTGAGAGATTCATACATTTTATTAGTCTACCAAAAGACCATCCATGGGACAAAAATGGTTAAGGAACTCTACTTGAAACTCTGCTTGATAGAGTTCAATTAAAACATCATTCACTCAAGATAAAGTAAAGAATATGTATTATGGTATGATTTTCATAGAATAAAACACATCAATTTTAAGAATAAATTCTGATATCTGATTTTATAAACCATTTTTATAAACCATTATTATCACCATAAAATTAGGACAAATTTTTTCCTTATAACTTTTCTAGTCAATTACTACCATGTATATCCTTGCTGCTCCAGGCAACTAATAATTTGCATTCTATTAGTATAACTGGAATTATTTTAAACATTACTATTACTTGACACATCGAAACTGTTTTTAGGAATAATTTATATGGTTATAACATTCCTTTAGTTGAAACTTCAAATTACCGTATCAGTAATTGGTTCCAAAAATCCACAGGAAACTCACCTTATAAAAAAAATACTGTACAAGGGTGGCTATTCTAATATAATAAAAATGACCATGAACAAAAAGTAATTTGGAGAGGAATTTAAATCTAGCTATTGCATAGTCACTGTTTCGTGCAGCTTGTCTTCCTTCTTTACCCATAATTCCTGAAATAAAGAAGACAAAATACTGACATGTTAACTGATAATTCTAAAGTGAATTTCATAATTCTGTCAATATCTCAACTATTGATATATACTAGCTGAATCTGTATTTAGAAAAAAAAAAAGCTTTTTGTACGTGTGCTGGTCCCGGGGCTTGAATATGGGACATGGACACTGTCCCTTAGCTTTTTTGCTCAAAACTAACATTCTACCTACCACTTGAGCCACAGCTTCACTTTTGGCTTTTTGGTGGTTAACTATAGATAAGCCAGCTCAAGCTGGCTTCAAAGCCAGATCCTCAGAGGGAACAATGCTTGATAAGAAATGTACTCATTACCTTGCCCATGTAATTGTAACCCCTCTGTATGGTATTTTCACAATAAAAAATAATTAAAAAAAAAAAAAGCTTGATCCTCAGATCTCAGCTTCCTAGCTAGCTACTCAGCTAGGATTATAAGCATGAGTCACTGGCACCCAACTTGGAAAAATTAAGTCTTAAAATATATCTAGCAGCTATCAAAAGGTTGTTCTAGTTAAATGTTTACTACAAAGCTAAAATCTATGCTTGGCTGGCTTTTGGGTGGTTAATTGGAGATGAAGAGTCTCATGGACTTTCCTGCCTGGGCTGGCTTCCATCTGTAGTCATTAGAGTTCAGTCTCCTAAGTAGTTAGGATTATAGACGTGAGCCACCAGAGCTGACTAATATGTTACTTTCTTATAAGAAATTCCTGAGCATGTAATTAGGTCATTAGACACACAGTTAAGATTTTGTCATGCATACTAATGAAGGAATGAATTGCAAGTTTACTGAACATTGTACATATTCATCTGTCAACATATATCTTTGCCAACTCTAGGCTTATTAATTTTCATAACTGTTTCCAATCTGACAGATAATTTTAACTTTCATTTCTTTGATGGTGAAAGAGACTGAATACTTTTTAAAAAATATATACATAGTATTTATTCATTTTAGTTCTCATTTTGTGAAAATAGAGGGTTTGTATCATTATACCTATTTCTCCTGGAGTGTCTTTCTTATCTTTGTATTAAAAAGATGGGCTAGCAGGTCTTCTCATTCAAAATTTTTACCCTTTAGTGAAAAATCCAAACCTATGCCTTTCTCTTGCTTTGTATTTGTAAAATAAAACAATAAAGGAAGAGAGGCCAAAGTATGTTAAAATAGGAACTACTAAGTAAATCATTATTAAATAGAATAATAGTATTTTAATTGAAGTTTCAAAAGTAGAAAAATCTGAAGAAAGGTTATTAAAATCAGAAAACTGAGATATCATTTTATTTTTTGGAAGTACAGGAGTTAAAACTCAGGGCTTTGCGCTTGTACTTTAACACTTGGGCCATGTCTCTAGCCCTTTGTGCTTTCATTATTTTTCTTAATATGCTTTTGTCTAGGCCAGCCTAGACTGTAATTTACCTATAGATGTTTCCAATATAGGATAATAGGTATAAGCTGAGTATTGATTGAGATAGGGAATCTCACATTTTTTTGCCTGGTCTGGCCTTGAACTGTAATCTTCCCAGTAGGATTATAAAATTGAGTCAATGTGCCTGGTTGGCCGACATTTCATGTTTTAATTATCGTTTTGTCTAGTTTCTTGTCTTTAAATGAATTTCAGAATCTCTAGTTTCATAAAGTAGTAAGAGTAATTCTAAAACAAGACCTTAAAACCATAAAAGCTATATAAATTTAAATATAATCCACATAAATCATAAACTTAAGAGTTTAAAAAGGGTAAAATAATGTATGAAAGTACTTTGTAAGACATAAAATGACATAAAGAGGGAAAATGGGCAAAGATAATATTTAATAATGAAGCATTTATTTTCTCTAAAATTTAGCAACTAAAAATCCTCAGTAGTGGGCTTAAGAATAGGATTCTAATGGGGACATCCTATTATATAGTACCATGCTGCATTTAGTTTTCATTCATACATTCAGTATTTCACTTTAATCTATGGAAGGAAAAATCAAAACCATCAAATAAATTATAGCAACTTTAAAATTTGGGGAAAGTTGAATCACCTATGCCAACGTGTGCTTCTTGTATCATGCTTACATCATTAGCACCATCGCCAACAGCCAATGTTATTGGTTTCTCAGGTGAGATTTTTATCAGTCTTATTACCTGAAAGACACATAATAAATTAATTCTTTATGATAAAATTTCAATTTTCTTTTACCTGTGTGTTATTTATCTGAAGTAACTCTATAGTAAGAACAGTAATAAAATATTTAATACAATTAAGATAATAAGAAGCACTGAAGTAGTTTTCAGACAGTAACCTACATTAAGAGTTTTAGGAATGCTTTTCAGAAATATCATAGAAATGCAGTACTAGGTTTGAATTATAAAGACTATTTTAAAAAATCAAACAATTAGTAACTTATTGTGTAAAAAAAGAATGCACCTAGTGAACTTTGGATAAAATTTTAGGTTTACTCAAGATGAGTTAAACTATCTTAACAGGCCCATATCAAGCACTGAAATAGAAACAGCAATAAGAGACCTCCCAGCTAAGAAAAGTCCAGGACCAGATGGTTTTACAGTGGAATTTTACAAGGCCTTCAAAGCAGAGCTCACACCAATTCTCCTCCAATTCTTCAATGAAATTGAAAGAGAAAGCTCACTACCGAACACATTCTATGAAGCCATCATAACCCTCATCCCAAAACCAGGCAGGGATTGATGAATATTGATGCAAAACTTCTCAACAAAATTTTGGCCAATCGACTTCAACAATTCATCCAAAAAATCATACACCACGATCAAACAGGATTCATTTCAGGGATGCAAAGCTGGTTCAATATACGCAAATCAATTAATATTATTCATCACATCAACAGGAGCAAGAATAAGAACCACATGGTTATCTCAATAGATGCAGAAAAAAGCATTCGACAAGATCCAACACCCCTTTATGATGAAGGTTTTGGAAAAATTAGGAATCCATGGAACATTCCTCAATACAATAAAGGCTGTATATGACAAACCTACAGCCAGCATTATACTCAATGGTGAAAAACTAAAGCCATTTCCTCTTAACTCAGGAACAAGACAAGGATGCCCACTCTCTCCACTTCTCTTCAGTCTAGTATTAGAATGCCTAGCTACAGCAATAAGACAAGATGCAGACACAAAGGGGATCCAAATAGGGAAAGAAGAAATAAAACTCTCCCTCTTTGCAGATGACATGATCTTGTATTTAAAGAATTCCATAGACTCCACTCCCAAATTACTCAAGCTGATTCAAAACTTTGGCAAAGTAGCAGGTTATAAAATTAACCCCCCAAAATCAATGGCTTTTCTGTATGCCAACAATGAGAAAAGTGTGGCTGAAATTAGGAAAGCAACTCCATTTGTAACAGCCCCACAAAAAATAAAATACCTAGGAATTAACTAAAGAAGTGAAGGACCTCTATGATGAAAACTTTAAAATCTTGAAAAAGGAAACCAACACAGAATTTAAAAAATGGCAAAGCCTCCCATGCTCCTGGATTGGAAAGATTAACATCGTGAAAATGGCAATACTTCCCAAGGCTATCTACAAATTCAACGCAATACCTATCAAAATTCCAACCTCATTCTTCAAGGAAATAGAAGAGGCAATCCAAAAATTCATATGGAACAATAAAAGACCCCGAATAGCAAAAACGCTCCTCAACGGAAAGAACACTGCTGGAGGAATATCAATACCAAACTTCAAATTGCTATAAAGCCATAATAATCAAAATAGCTTGGTATTGGCATAAGAACAGACCTCAGGACCAATGGAATAGAATTGAAAACCCAGAAATGAACCTACAGACCTATAGCCATCTAATCTTCGATAAGGGAGCTAAAACAATAGAATGGAAGAAAGACAGCCTCTTCAGTAAGTGGTGCTGGCAAAATTGGTTAACTACATGTAGAAAACTAAAGCTAGATCCTTATATATCACCCTGCACCAGAATCAACTCCAAATGGATCAAAGACCTTGAAGTCAAAGCAGACACTCTGAAAACATTACAGGATGGAATAGGAGAAACCCTAGGTCTCCTTGGCTCAGGCCGAAATTTTCTGAATAGAGATCCGGAAACACAACAAATCAAAGAAAGGTTGGACAAATGGGACTGCATAAAGTTGCAGAGCTTCTGCAGGGCAAATGACATAGCTAGCAAGATCAATAGAAAGCCCAAGGATTGGGAGAAGATCTTTACTAGCCATACAACGGACAAGGGTCTCATATCTAAAATATACTTGGAACTCAAAAAATTAAACCCCTCAACAACAAATCCTCAAAGAAACAACTGCCCAATAAATAAGTGGGTGAAAGACTTAAAGAGAAACTTCTCTGAAGAAGAAAGAAGGATGGCCAATAGACACATGAAGAAATGTTCAACATCCCTAGCCATAAAAGAAATGCAAATCAAAACAACATTGAGATATCACCTCACCCCAGTTAGAACGGCAAAAATCAAGAACTCTAACAACAACAGATGCTGGAGGGGATGTGGACAGAAAGGAACCTTACTTCATTGTTGGTGGGAATGTAAACTTGTTCAACCACTTTGGAAAGCAGTATGGAGGTTCCTCAAAAGACTTCACATAGAACTCCCCTATGACCCAGCAATCCCACTTTTGGGCATTTACCCAAATGTTTACAAACAAGACCACAACTATGTTTATTGCAGCACAACTATGTTTATTGCAGCATTATTTACCATAGCTAAGATATGGAACCAACCCAGATGCCCCTCAGTAGATGAGTGGATCAAGAAAATGTGGTATATATACACAATGGAATTCTATGCCTCCATCAGAAAGAATGACATTTCCCCATTTGTTAGGAAATGGAAAGGCTTGGAAAAAATTATATTAAGTGAAGTAAGCCAGGCCCAAAGAAACATAGGTCCCATGGTTTCCCTTATTTGCAATAAGTAGTATATGTATGAGTCAAGCGGAAAAGGTCAGATAATGTGATGTTAGGAAAATGAACCCTTAGATATGTATTTTAAGGGTTTTTTCTTTCATGCATGTGTTTCTAACGCATTTATAAGATTATCTCTTTGTTGCTTTGTATGTCCCTCCCCCACAGTATAACCCCTGCTTTCACTATATTTGATGTCAGTATAACTTGTGGAGGAGATGGGGAAAAACAAATCGTTTAAGGATACAGGTGGACCTGTTGCAACAATGAGAAGTACAAGTTGACATGTCCAAAACGAGCTTTACAACGTCGGTGGGGGGGGGGGAGGTAAGGGGAGGAAGGAGAAGGATTGGGATTGGGGGGAGGAGGGAGGCTGGGAAGGGATGTGAAGGGTAAACCAACGGAGGAGGCTGCAATGCTTGGTAAGAAATGTACGCATTATCCTGCCCATGTAATTGTAACCCCTCTGTACAGTATGTTCACAAATAAAATAAAATTAAAAAAAAATTTTAGGTTTACAAAACTTTCTGATAGAAGATAATGAACAAAATCTAAAGTTAAAAAAAGCTAGTAGCTCACACCTGTAATCCTAACTACTAAAGAGACTGAGATCTAAGAATTGCAGTTCCAAGTCAGCTGGGGCAGAAAAGTCAATGAGCCTCTTACTTCTGAATAACTACCAAAAATCCAGAAGTGAAGCTTTGGCCAAGGGACAGAGTGTTAGCCTTGAGCAAAAAAAGCTCTGGGATAGTGCTTAGGCCCTGAGCTTAAGCATCAGGACAAATACCAAAAGAACAAAAAAGGGCTGGGAATGTGGCTTAGTAGTAGAATGCTTGCCTAGCATTCATGAAGCCCCCCCCCCCCAAAAGTATGAAATTCAGTGAAGTCCAAACAGCTTTCTCTGAAACTCTTAAATGTTTACATTCTCTCTCCGTCCTTTTTTTTTTTTTTGGTGCTAGTTCTGGGGCTTGAACTCAGGGCCTGGGCATTGTCCTTTAGCTTTTTTGCTCAAGGCTAGTTAGCACTCTACTCTTGAGCCTCAGCTCCATTTCTGGCTCTATGGTGGTGTCATGAACTTTTCCTGCCTACCATCTTCAGATTTCAGCCTCCTGATTAGATTCATACTCCTGTATGAATGTAATTTTATATACAACACAGGAATTAGCTTTCTTTATCTCCAGTTTTAGTCTGGATAGGCTAGGATATAAATTATAATGTAGACATCATAACCAAATTTCCTAAAACTTAAAAAAAATTAAGTGGCTATTTTATTAGATTTATATATGTGTAAAAATCAGCACTTAGATGTATATTGCCAAGAATATTTGTGAAAGATACAGCTTAAGATCTCAAATTCCAAATACAGAATGACATATAATTTGAATAAGCTCATTTGCATAATAGATTGTTGAAATTTAAACTTCCTGTAAACAGCTTCACATTACAAATTAAATGGCTCTCAACTTTTTTTGGTACCAGTCCTGGGGCTTGAATTCAGGACCTGAGCACTGTCCCTAAGCTTTTTTGCGCAAAGCTAGTGCCTGCCACTTTAGATATAGTTCCACTTCCAACTTTTGATGGTTAACTGGAGATAAAAGTCTAATTTTCCTGCCTGGGCTGGTTTCAAACTGTGATCCTCAGATCGCAGCCTTCTGAGTAGCTGAGATTAATTACAGGTGTGAGCCACCAGTACCTGATTTTGTTTTCAACTTTTTACTAGGGGCCTATTTAAAACTGAATAGCTACCTCAAAGAATAAGCAGGGATCAACAGAACCACCTAACGTTTCTGTAATTCAAGTCTCCTAAAGCTCCTTCACTAACTAGCTAAGTAACTAATATGGATAATTATCAAAGTTCAAATTGTTTCAACTGCTACCAAACAGAGACTTTCCAGAACAATATGAGTATTTGAAACTTCAGTATTTTTTCTGAGCATTCCAAAGTATAATGTACATAGGTGACAATTCCCAAAAGACAATTCCCTAATAAGATTCATACACTGAGTAACACCAAATGGAACTATGTAAGGTATTTAAAGAACAAACTTTAAAGAATATCTATCTATCTATCTATCTGAACTCAGGGCTTGGGCACTGTCCCTCAGCTTCTTTGTGCTTAAGACTAGTGCTCTACCACTAGAGCCACAGTACCATTTTTGGCTTTTTTGAGTAGTTTTGTGAAGAGTCTCATGGAAACTTCTCTGCACAGGCTGGCTTCAAACCATGATCCTTCACATCTCAGCCTTCTGAGTAGCTAGGATTATAGGTGTGAGCCACCAGTGCCTGGCTTTAAAGAATATTTTTAGAACTAAATATCTGTGGTCCTTCTTACAACATATACATACTTTTGCTTTCTGCAGGGGTGCCATACGACAGCACAATACAGCTGAACAATTTCTGCAGACTTCCATAAATAATTTTTCATGTTCCCTGAGTGCAAGAGATAAGCTGGTCCCATCCACTACCAGTCCATGCTGAATCACATGATCCTCAGTGATTCTAAAGAAGAAAAAAATAATTAAAATAATCATATCCTCTGTAAGACCCTACCCCACTCCCATCTCTATCTCTAGTAACAGGATTGAACTGATGGTCTCCTTCATGCTCAGCAAGTACTCTACCACTGAAGCCACACCCCCAGTCCATTCTGCTTGTCTCACTATGTATGGGCTACCCTCAAACTCACAATCCTCCTGCCTTTGCTTCAAGAGTAGATGAAATTACAGGTTGTTCTACCATGCCCAGCTTGTAAGTCATTTTATTCACATTCATAGAATAGTACTATTAAAGGACGGACAGTTCAAAATGGAAAAACTCAGTTGTACTACCTAAAGGTAAGATTAAACAGAATCAAGAGTCACTAAAGGATGAGTAAAACACAGGATACTGAATTTTACAATGAAGTGTTACATAGAAATAGCAACTGTATTTTCTACAATGTGAATTGTAACATAATCTAAACTTATAAGAACAGAAAAAGAAACATTCTTATTCAGTTAACTAAATTCTAATCTTATGCACTAGACACTATGTTGAAAATGAACTTTACAACTTTGCAGGGGGGAAGAGAAGAGTTGGGAAGATGGGGAGGAAAGGGATGGTAGGGGAAAAACAAAGGAGGGGTTAACAATGTTTGATAGATAATGGACTCATTACCTTGCTCATGTAACTGTAACCCCTTTATACAGTAGTATCTTTACAATAAAAAATATATATTTAGCTGGGCGCTGGTGGTTCACACCTATAATCCTAGCTACTCAGGAGGTTGAAATCTGAGGATTGTGGTTCAAAGCCAGCCCGGGCAGGAAAGTCCGTGAGACTCTTAACTCCAATAAAGCACTAGAAAACCAGAAGTGGCACTGTGGTTCAAGCTGTTCAATGCTCGCCTTGAGCTGAAGAGCTGAGGGACAGCACCCAAGCCCAGAGTTCAAGCCCAATGACAGACAAAAATAAAATAATATATATATATATATATATATATATATACACACACACACATATATATATGTTTAAAAATTCTAATCTTAAGAATATATGAAATCAAGATTATTCAGAAAAATCTATAAGCTAGATAACTGATGTTAAAAGATTGCCCTATAGTGGATGTAACATCAGATATTATGGTCAAACCTGAATAACCCCTATTTGTGGCCATATAATTAAAATAAGTGCTATTCAAAGTGTTGCCTGCTGACTGGCAGCTGGGCAAACTGTTGTTAGTGAATTAAGTAATTATATCATTAAGTGGACAATTTTTACTCAACTGTTTCCCCAGTGGCCCCTTGATAATAAGACTTTCTTGATGAAGGAAGTAGTATAAATATTTTTGAAAGGCAGTCTTCAAAGTAGCTCTGTGTTACATACACACCACAAAAAGTACCATCAATTTATAGGTTGCTCCATTTTAAAATGAGAAGAAAGAAGACTACTAGGTGAGCAACAAGCTAGAAAAGCTTAAGATACACTGATTAAGACTTAGTCTTATAACATAAAACCCTTTTATAAGCTGCAGGATGACTTTCATTATATGTCTAACTACTGTGTTGCACTGTAACTTAATACAAGTAATAAACCATTCACTTTGCACCATGAAAACTTCAAAACATCTTTCTCTTCCTTAACCTGCAGTATCTGAACATCCACATTGACTGGCTTCTTACCTACTTAGAATCTGTGCTACTGTCAATGCCTTGAGCCTGTTTTGAGTACTATCTAAGCAGTGTGCCTCAAAGGGAATAGTTACCAATAGTGGGACAGATCAGGGGCTGGGAAGGTGGCTCAGTGGTAGAGCACTTGCCTTTCATGCATGAGGCCCTGGGTTCGATTCCTCAGCACCACATAAGCAGAAAAAAAAAAGCCGGAAGTGGTGCTATGGCTCAAGTGGTAGCGTGCTAGCCTTGAGCTGAAGAGCTGAGGGACAGCACCCAGGCCCAGAGTACAGGCCCCACGACTGGACCCCTTCCCCCCATAATAGTGGGACAGATCAGACTGCTTTCCTCAGGACTCTCCCATGGCACATTATCTGATTTTCCTCCGAGTAGTCTTCATAAACTACCAATATGTTCTCACCATCTATGGGATATTTAAAATATGTGGAGGCCAGACCTGGTGGCTCATGCTTGTAATTCCAGCTCCTTGGAGAGGCAAGCAGATTGGGAAGAACTAACAATTTGAGGCCAGCAAAAGTTACTAGACCCCATCTCAAGAAGCAAGTCAGGCTTGGAAGTCACACCTTGGAGGCTTAAATAAGACTGAGGTCCCAGGCTATCCCATGCAAAAAGCCTACAGCTAAAAACATTGAAAGCATAGCTCAAGCAGCAGAGCACTTGCCTACCATTCTAGCAAACAGTAGGCAGCAGGGGCTCGTCTCTGGTTTATGTCACTGTTCCCCCATACTCTCCCATTTATCTCCATTTATCCATCTATACTTTATGGTAAGTTCCTTAAATATTCCCATCTCTCAGCTCCAGGACTTTGCATCTGCTGTCCGCTTTGCTTCCTGATGTCACTACCCAGCTAACATTTCATCTCTGAGTTCATCCAGAGCTCTTCCTGATGTTGCTGGTCTCCGATGTCCTATGCTCTACTTCTTCTGTTGCTCCCTGAGTTACGATTTACTTCACAGGTCTATAACAGTGTTTACTTCTCTGTCTTCCCCATACCTAGATCCTATGTGAACTAGATCCCATTAATGTTGACTGCTAAACTATAATGTATTTATGTTTTAATACCACAGAACTGTATCATAAGATTTTAGGATTAATCTTTGACAATGTTGCTTCAAACAGGTCATATAGCTGACATCTCACTGCATAACAAATAACTTTACCATGTAATTAAAAAATAATAATCCATACTCCACTAGGCCTTAAAATTATGTCATTAAAGCCCATTTTTCTTATTTTGTCATGACAGCTATACATTGACAATATAAAATAACAAAATGTCCTAACATGGAACACTCAGAACATTATGGAGTATAACTGTATGACTTGTAGAATACCAAACAACAGTATGAAGTGCTGAGAGAAGACTTCAGATCTCTGCTGCCAAAACTCAGTTCATGCTGTAGTGATAAATTTATGTGGTTGTGTTCTAATCAAACTTCACAGACACTGAAATCTAAATTGTATGTAGCCATGAAGCATTCTTCTTTGGATTATTTTTCATCCATCATCAAATGTAAAGTGATTTTTAGATAATGGACTGACAGTCAGTGGCAATGGGTTATATCTGACCTGGTATTATGGTTACTTAATTCCTGGATTGTATGATCCATATACCTACATTCTTACCTTCTGGCCAGCTGCCTCAATTGTTCGGCACATTCACTGTCTGATTTCTGGTTTATCAGTTCAAGGATGTTCATGGTTCTGTGAAAATGTCCACAGGATAAGCTCACACTAACAGCTGTCTCATGTTTATCTCCAGTAAGTACCCACACTTTGATACCAGCCATTCTCAATGCTTCAATAGTTTCTCGAACTTTATCTTGCAGTCTGAAAATACAATAAACAAAACTAGTTAAAGAAAACACTTTTCCCCTATATGTTTAGTATAAACTAAAGAGAATAGGTAAAGTCTACACTAGACTTGGGAATGTTACAATATATCAATTTATCTGAAATTGAAACCCTCTAAGAAAGAAATAACAAACTGATTAGTGATAACCTGATTTATATAAAATCAACCAATTAAAATATACAACTTTGTGTTTCAAGAGTTTATCTTCAAAATTGATTTTTTTTTTTTTTTGGCCAGTCCTAGGGCTTAAACTCTGGGCCTGGGTGCTGTTCCTGAGCTAAGCAATACTACTGAAGCTACAGATCTACTTCTAGTTTTTTTCTGTGATTAATTGGAGTTAAGAGTCTTACAGACTTTCCTGTCCGGGTTAGCTTTGAACTGCAATACTCACATCTTCGTCCCTTGAGTAGCTAATATTACAGATGTGAACCACTGGTGCCTGGCTAAAATTAATTTAAGACCAAAATAACTAGGTGGTCTTCATAAACCATTAAAATAAGATCTCTCTACTTCCTCTCCAATCTTATACCCTCCCCTACCATCCCTTATCTTGCCCTAGCTTCCTTTCTTCCTTCCTCTTCCTATCTCTGTCTCTGTCAGTTAGAGACTGGACCCAGGGCCTCATGCATACTAGAAAAGCACTATGTTGCTGAGCTATACCTGAAGTCTCTAGGAAGTCTTTAATTTCAAGTCAAAATGAGATCTGTATATGTATGTACCTATCTATAAGAAAATTTCTCAAATTACTCACAGCTAAAAAAAAATCAGACTGTGGAAAAAAGAAGGCTATATACCATATAACTTCAAAAGATTATGAGAAATTTCAAGAAAATGAAAATGTAGATTAAAAAAAGTATGTAAACACCCTTGTATCTAGGGGGTAGGAGAAAACACATAATGATAAAAATTGTAGAAATCAATTCATAGGATTCAACTTAATTCAAGAAAAACATTGAGATAATTCCTGGGTAACCAAGACAAACTATATGGGCTACAAAGAATTCATAATTACAAGACAGTACAACAAAGATATTGATACAATTAGATACAATTACCTATAAAATACAGAAACTTCACAGGTAATATTTAATCCTATCAGTAAAGATCTTACTGGAGTGGGATTAATAACTGAGCTATACTTTAGGAATAGGTATCTAAAGATAAATAGAAAGAATCATCCACAAGGCATGGCTTTAACAAGGAACATGTAGCTGGTGTGCAGAGAACTATAGCTGGTGTGGAACTACTGAAACATAAGGTAGAAACATGAGGCTGGACAATTAATGGACTGAGGAATAGTCTAAAATTTCAATAGTCTAAATTTTCAGAAGAACTACAGATAATTGTTTTCCTTCATCTACTTCAAATGTCTGGCTAAAACAGTATACATTGACTAGAAAAAACTAATGCTTTAATTCTCTATTTTGATTTTAAATATCATAGAAAGTTAATAATTTATTTCATACACTAGAAACACTTAAAGCAAAGATGCAAATGGATCCAATTTCTTCTTTTTCTGGATATAACAATGTTTGATCATCACTCTATCTATTCATTCTGCCACTAGTCACATGTTCTATTTAAGGAGTAAGTGGCTTTCTATATTTGAAATATTTGAGAAGATACAGATTAGGTCTATGAAAAATATGGTTTCACTCTTTAAGAAGGTTGGTTCTAGCCAGGTGCCAAAGGCTCACACTTGTAATCCTGGATACTCAGGAGGTAAGTATCACAGTTTGAAGCCAGTCTGAGCAGAAAAAGTTGGAGACTTTTATTTCCAATCAATCATCAGCAAGCCAGAAGTGAAACTGTGACTCAAGTGGTAGAGCACTAATCTTGAGCAAGAAAACTCAAGGATAATACTCAGGCATTAAGTACAAGCCCCAGGACTGGCACACACACAAAAAGGAAGGCTGCTTCTGAAAAAAATTTCTAATGAGGAAGAAACAGTACTAACTTATGTGAGTCTTACCTGTCTTCCACTGCTGTAGCTCCCAGTAACATCAGATCTTTCTCTATGAACTGGAAGACATTTGCCAATTTCTCTTCCCGTTGTTGCAAGGCAGTCCTGGCTTCAAATAGTCGTTTGTCTATTTCTTCATATTCTTTAGGTGTAAACTGTCTATAGGCTACACACAGAGTTCGTAGCCCTTTCTAAGGTTAAAAAAAAATTAAAGGCAAAAAAACCTCAGCACAAATTAACTAATGAAAGAAAAACAAAAAGGTTACTGAAATAAACTGAAGACCTGGCATTCAATATTAGAGCCTAGGAAGACCATAAAGATTACCTTATTTATATTTGAAAACTATTACATGAAAATGCAAAGTTTAAGAATGTCAAGGGAGGGGCTGGGAAGGTGGCTCAGAGGTAGAGTGCTTGCCTTGCATGCATGAAGACCTGGGTTCGATTCCTCACCACCACATAAGCAAAAAAGAAAAAAAATGGAAGTGGCGCTGTGGCTCAAGTGGTAGAGCACTAGCCTTGAAGTGAAGAGCTGAGGGACAGCGCCCAGGCCCAGAGTTCAGGTCCCACGACTGGACCCCCCCCCAAGGAAAAAAAAAAAAAAAGAATGTCAAGGGAGACAGCTTCAGGTTCCTATTTTAACTCAAAATCCTAGAGTGGCTCAAGCCTGTAATCCTAGCTACTCAGGCAGCTGAGATCTGAATATCATGGCTCACAGATAGCCCTCACAGCAAAATCTGCGAGACTCATCTCTAATTAACTAGCACAAAGCAGGAAGCAGAGCTATGGCACAAGAGGTAGAATGCCAGTTTTAAGCAAAAAAGCTAAGACAGAATAAAAGACCCTGAGTTCAAGCCCCAGTACCAACCTCCCCCTCCCAAAAACAATCCACTTTTACCTACTTCATACATTTATTTTTTGCAAAGGAGAACATGACCTCCTGAGGGTTTATCCTATGACCAAATTTGTCATTTCAAATACATCAGCCTTGTTCATTATCAAACAAGCTCTATTGCCTGGATCTATCAAATGAGATTTATTTTAAATAATATATCTTCTGGGAGGGAAAAACTGGGTGAGAGAGAGGGAAGGTGACATTGTTAAAAAAAAATGTACTCTTTACCTGACTTATGTAATGTAACCTCTCCATACATCATCTCTATAATAACAATTAAAAATTTAAAAAAATCTTCAGTAAACTAGAACTACTGAAATGTAGGGCCATGTCTGATTATGTGATTCTTTCTGCTCATTAAAAAAAAATCTCTGAAATGGAGGACTGGTTGAGTGGCTGAAGTGGTAGTGCACCTGCCAAGCAAGTATAAGGTCCTGAATTCAAATATCAGTAACATCAAAATGAATGAAATAATAACAATACTAATAAAAAAATGCTGAAAGGCAATATATGAAGCTAAAGGCTTATAACTATGTATATATACTTTCTGTCTACCATGTATTTTTTTTGAAAAATACACAATAAATGTTCTGACAGTGTAACTAAGAGTAGTTAGAAAAATATATGATAGTACTGTTTTTAAGACAGTACTTTAAAACCCAATAGTCAAAAATATTTTCTAATAATAGTTATGAGCCATTAGTTCTTAATATATAAATTAATTTATTCTACAATAAATGCTTATTAAGCATCATCTGTGTGTTAGTACTGTTCTGGATATTAATACAGTGGTAAAGTTCAACAATGTCTCTGCTCTCACAAGTATTATAATGGGTAGATGAACTACATCATCAACATTCATAAGCAATGGAAGACAATAATTATAAACTAGTAAAAGGGATAGGTAAGAAGGGATGAGTATGGAGCATACATTTAAATAAATATCGTGAATTATTGCTCTTTGTTCTTGTAAGATACCCCTATATTCTCTTTTTAATAAAAATATAATTCACATTCCACAAAATTCACCATTTTATTAATTCCATGTTTTAAACTATATTCAGAGTTGTTCAATCATCACTGCTTCCTAATTCCAGAATATTTCATCATTCCCCAAAGGAATACATACCCATTAGCTCCTGGCAACCACTAATCTGTTTTGTCTTTCTCCCATCTGCCTATCCTGGACATTTCATATAAATGTCATATGTGGCTTTTTGTGACTGGCTTCTTTTGCAGATCTTTTCAGGGTTCATCTGTGTTGTATGTAGCATGTATCAATACTTCATTCCTTTTAGTGTCTTGGTAATAATCCATTATATGAGTATATTACATTTTGTCTACCTATTGATCAGTCATCTGGGTTTTTTCCATTTGTGTCTATTACAAACAATGCTTATGAACATGAACATGTTAAGATCTTTTGTGTGGATGTTTTCAATTCTTTTTTGGGGGGAGTGGGGGGTCGTTCATGTGGCTTGAACTCAGGGCCTGGGCATTGTTCCTGAGCTCTTTTACTCAAGGCTAGTACTCTACTACCCTGAGCCACAGCTCCACTTCCAGTTTTCTGGTGGCTAATTGGAGATAGGAGTAGCAGTCTCACAGAATTTACTGTCTGGGCTAGCTTTGAATCATAATTCTTAGATCTCAGCCTCCTGATTAGCTAGGATTACAGATGTGAGCCACCACTGCCTGGCATGTTTTCAAATCTTTTTGGTATTTACCTAGGAGTAGAATCACTAGGTCATATAGTAATTATGCTGATTTTTTGAGAAACTGCCAAACTTCTCACCCAAGTACAATTCTATAATACTATTTTATTAGGTCTTCTTCAGTGAATCAAGGGCCTTGAACTGAGCTATATATACAACCTTTTTTTAATTTATTGATTTATTTACTGATTTATTTTAAGGAAAGCTCTTACTACACTTCCCTCGCTATTACTGAATTCTTGGATCCTTTGGTCTCAGTCTTTGTAGTAGGTGTAGCTGCAGGCATGCACCAAGCCTGGAAAAATTTTCTTTCCTACCCTTCTCTTCCCTTTCTCTCTCTAAAGAAAATACATGGTAGACAAAAAAACCTTACAAACATAATTATAGGCCTTTAGCTTCATATATTACCTTTCAGAGCTTTTCTATTAGAGTTGTTATTATTTCATTTATTTTGATGTTACTGGGATTTGAACTCAGGGCCTTATACTTGCTTAGCAGGTACTACCACTTCAGCCACTCAACTAGCCTTCCATTTCAGAGCTATACCCCAGCCTCTTTTTTTTAAACAGCATAGTTGGGGTCGTACTTGCAACCAAAAGCGCCCGTTTTAAGAGGTATAAAGATATGACATTTTAGCAGATTAAAAATTGGTTTTTACATAAAGAATGTGAGCCAACACATAATAAAACATAATTACAAAATTCTAATAACTTGGATAAGTAACTTAAAAATAAATTCCAAAATCATTCAAAAATACAACCTTTTGAGTTTTTAAATAACAGAAGTTTGTACTTACCAAAGCAAATTCATCTACATGAATTCTAGTTTTTTCAATTTCTCCGCCTACACATTTAGGGAGAACTGATGATTCAGCTCCTTTAGCAAATAAAAGCTTCTCCCCTGAAAGGAGGGGGAAAAAAAAAGCTCAATCTCTTACTATTAAGTAAATAAACAATCATGAAAATTTAGATTGGTTACCTGAAGGTGCCTGAACAATTACACTCATTCTCCTACGATCTGAATCAAATTCCAGAATATGGAGCAATTTGTACCTAAAGAAAAGAAGACAAAAATCTTATCTTTTAAAAAATGTGCAAATATGTGAATGGAATATATGAATATTTGGAAAGAGTAAAAGATGTTAATTTAAAATAAAACATTGGGGCTGGGAAGGTGGCTTAGTGGTAATGCTTCCTTAGCATGAATGAAGCCTTGTGTTTGATTACACAGTATCATATACACAGAAAAAGCTGGATGTAGTGCTGTGGCTCCAGTGGTAGAGTGCTAGCCTTGAGCAAAAGCAGCTCAGGGACAATGCCCAGGCCCTGAGTTCAAGCCCCAGGCCCAGCAACAAATAAATAAATAACATTAATATCATCTACATTTTCATAAGGATGGGTTATGTATCATTAACAGGAATACTTGACAGAAACAAAAGAAACTGACTTAGAGTCATTACCGAATGACAGGCTTTACATGCCTTCTTATCATTTAACTTCAGTGAAAAATGAGGCTATTATAAAGATTAAGTAACTAACGTTAAATAAGCTGTGAACAGCAGAACAAGGACTGGAACCCAAGTCTGCCCAACTACATGTTTCAGTAAATAAAAAAGATAAGTGATTCTCAACCACTTTAACATATCCAACTAATGCAGCATACATACATTACAGCACTACGTCTGAACCTTGGTGTGTATGGAAAGAGGGGCACACAAAGGCTTCTCCAAAGGGCTGAAAAAGCATTTGTATGGATAGGTGAAAAGAAACATGGCTTGAAAAACCTTCCACAGAATCTTTTTTTTTTTTTATTGTGAAAATACCATACAGAGGGGTTACAATTACATGGGCAAGGTAATGAGTACATTTCTTATCAAGCATTGTTGCCTTTGTTTACCCTTTCCATCTTCCCCCTTTACCCCCCTAAAGTTGTAAAGTTCGTTTTTCGACATAATGGTCTTGTACATCTCATTGTTGCAATGGGTCCACCTACATCCCTATTTAAACAATTTGTTTTTTCCCTTCCCCTCCACAAATTATACCAACATCAAATACAGTGAAAACAGGGGTTATACAGTGGGGGAGGGACATACAAAGCAACAAAGAAATCATCTTAAAAATTTGTTAGAAACAATCTCAAGAAAGAAAAAAACATTTGAATCTTTCACCTAACATCAAGTTATCTGACTGTTTCTGCTTGTCTCTGATATATACTAGTAATTGCAAATAAGGGAAACCAGTCCTATGGAGGTTCCTCAAAAGACTCCACATAGAGCTCCCCTATGACCCAGCAATCCCACTTTTGGGCATTTACCCAAATGATCACAAACAAGACCATACTAAAGCTACCAGCACAACTATGTTTATTGCAGCATTATTTACCATAGCTAAGATATGGAACCAACGAAGATGTCCCTCAGTAGATGAATGGATCAAGAAAATGTGGTATATATACACAATGGAATTCTATGCCTCCATCAGAAAGAATGACATTGAGGGGGGACCAAGATGGCGACGGGGCAGTAGGGAAACGCCACAGCTCTCTCCAACCAAAAAGAGAGTTCAAGTTCCAACGCTTAATCTCCCCAAGAGACCGACAACAACAAAAAGACGAACACTCAGAGAAAAACCAGAGGTGGAAAATAACAAAAAAAGAAAGAGAGGAAAAGAAGAATTTCAGAACAGGGAAGAGCGAAGACCCCTCCCCCAACCTTTACTGGCGCGCGCAGTGCGCCAAGCCGCCGGCCAGTCGGCCCGGCGGGGGCTGTCGGAGCCCCAGAGACACAGGGGGCTGCTTGCAGATCACCAGGTACCGGATTGCAGAACAGCGGATCGCCAGGAACAGAGAAACCTACCAGCCGGGAGTCTCCACGAGGATCCCACCCCCACCCCTCACTCTCCACCGGAGCGGAGAGGCTCCATCCCGCCAAAGCCGCCCGGCACCAGCAGCGCGACAAAGGGACCTGTCCGCAGACCACCCGCCCAATCGCGATCGCAACGACCCGGCGGGGGCCACCCAACCCAGCCCGCAACCACCCCAACTGAACTCGGATTGCAACAACAACTGACGACCTACAGGGTGAGTACCCCACAGGGGACAGTGTATCCCTCAAGGGAGACCAGAGCTGGAGGGAATCCCCAGACCCTGACCTAGACTCCCTACCCCAACACCCGGACCACAGGACCCACTAAAACTGGGAACTGTTCGAGAGCTCCACCAGCCGGTGGAGCACACTCTGCTGGCCAGGCCAGAGCAAGAGCGCCCCTGGAAGGGAGCTTAAATGCCCAAGCCAGGAACAGTGCCCCTGGGTCAAGACTACCAACAGTAGAAGAAATTTGAACTGTGTCCTCCAGGCTGCATAACCTAGGTGGTATACACATTAGCACAGGCCTAACGAGCGCGCTCCAGGCTGGGGCCGGAACCAGGCCCGGGGATCCGGCGCCTGAACAACACAACCAACTCCTCCCAACTGAAGTAAAAAGCTGAGCATACGCCTCAACAGAGGGGAGAAAACCAGGAAACAATACTCCCCAGGAAGCACGCCTGTGACAACAAAAGACCTGGAGGCTCAGGACAAGAGAAGCCCAAACCCCACCAAAACCCCACCCATATACCCTAGGCTGGGAATTGGGCAACACAGGCTGCCAGCACCTGATAGTAAGCAGGAGCTCAGGCTGATAAGGCGGCTCAGCAATAGAGTGATAGTCTTGGATGTATGAGGCCCTAGATCTGATTCCTCAGCATCACAAAAGCAAAAAGGGTCAGAAGTGGTGCTGTGGCTCAAATGGTAGGGTGCCAGCCTTGAGCTGAAGAGCTGAGGGACAGCACCCAAACCTAGAGTTCAAGCCCACAACCAGCCCAAAACAAACAAAAACACATCAGGAGCCCATAGCAGACTCCAGTATTTGGGAGAGTGCATCCAGAGCATCTGATCTTCCCAAGAGCACCCGTAGGAGTAAACACAAGCAGTCTAGGCTGCTCAACCCTTCCAAAGGTGGGAATTGCCAGCAATCTACAGCAGAGAGCTGAAAATCCTAAGTAAGTCAGAATAGCAGCTGGAAATAGGCTCCCAACAGAACCCAGATCAGGCACAGACTCTCTCTACCAATACAGAATCAGCAACCAAGCAAAGACAGACACACCAAAACAAAATTGAAGAGCAGTCTCCTGAACCCCCATGTGAAAATCACAGAGAAAAATCACAAGGTTTACCACCACCCAGGACAGCAAGCTCACCTCAAAAGCCAGCAGCCACGCAGGGGAGAGCCCCAGTGGGAGCAAAGCAGGAATGGAAGACAAAAGCTACATCCAAGGGTTGCTGGAGGCAATGACTCAAGAAATAAAGCGAGAAATGGATCAGAAATTGAAAGAGCACAAGGATGAACTATCAAAAGAGATACAGGATATCAAAGAAAAGTTGGATGCAAAAATAGAAGCTGCACAAACCTCAGTAAGAAGTGAGATAAACGCCAAATTAGAGGTAATGCATACTGATCTCACCTCATTGAGAGGTGAGATCAGTACTCTGAGAACCAACATTGAATCCATAAAGGGATCCATTTCCTCCATGCAAAACCACAATAGAAGCCACGGTCAACAGAGTGAATGAAATGGAAGGTAGAGTGTCAGATACAGAAGACAGAATACACCAACTGGACCAAAAAGTGACAGATATGGAAAAATCCCTCAAATTAAACCAAAGGGAAATTCAAGAGCAAGCAGATAATGCTAAAAAATTTAACCTTCGCATAATCGGAGTGGACGAAGGTGAGGAATTCCAGAGCAAGGGAATGCAACACCTATTTAACAAGATAATCAATGAAAATTTTCCCCACCTCAAAAACGACCATCTTAACTACATCACAAAAGCTTATCGAACACCCAACAAGCAAGATCCCAGGAGAAACACTTCTAGACACATTATAGTAAAAATGATGGATCTGAATAATAAGGAAAAAATCCTACATGCAGCAAAAATGAAGAAGGAGCTATACTACAACGAGAAAAAAATTAGAATCACTGCAGATCTCTCCACACAAACAATGAATGCAAGAAAAGCCTGGAAAAGCACCATACGAGCCCTGAGAGCCAATAACTGCCAACCCAGACTGATATACCCGGCAAAGCTAGCATTCACATTCGATGGAGAACTGAAAACTTTTAATAGCAAAGAAAAACTAAATGAATACATAAACATTAAGCCAGCATTACAAAGAATTCTAAGAGGGGGGACACAATCTGAAGAAAGCAACCAGGAACTGGGACCTGCCCCAAACAGGCATTACTCAAAGTCTAACTGAGCAAGCACAGGAGGAAAGGAAAGAAGAAAAACTTAGGAAAACGGAATGGCAGGGACAACAATGCATCTCTCTATACTTTCTCTTAATATAAATGGGATGAATTCGTCAATTAAAAGAAAATGAACTGAGGACTGGATCAGAAAACAAGACCCATCCATCTGTTGCCTTCAGGAGACCCACCTCTCAGCCAAACATACAAACAAACTCAGAGTGAAGGGGTGGAAAAGGATCTACCAATCAAATGCCCCCAGTAAGAAAGCAGGTGTAGCTATCCTGATATCTGACAAAATAAACTTTTCATTAAAATCAGTACAGAAAGACAAGGACGGACACTACATATAAATAAAGGGAACAATCCAAGAGGAGGATATAACCATCATCAACTTATATGCCCCAAATATTGGTGCACCCAGATATGTCAAACAAATGCTCTCAAACTTACAGAATAAAATAGATCCCAATACGATAATACTAGGAGACTTTAACACGCCACTCTCACCAAAGGACAGGTCTACCAACCAGAGGATTGGCAAAGAAGCTACCGAATTAAGTGAGGCCATACTTCAAGCAGAATTAACTGACATCTACCGAGTATTTCACCCTAAAACAACACAGTACACATTCTTCTCAGCAGCTCATGGAACTTTCTCCAAAATAGACCATATCATAGTTCATTCAAGGAACTTAAGCAAATACAAAGGGATCAACATAATCCCCTGTATCCTATCTGACCACAGTGGAATCAAGCTAGC